GCCAATGGGGCAGAATGTCAACAACCGGGGCACCTGGGTGAAAATGTTCATCGTACTACTCCTGTCACTTCTCTGCAGGTTTTGAAAAGTTTCAAAATAAAAGAAACCACACAGATCGGATCAGTCCCTGGAAAGTGTCCAAACCGCCACGAGTCCTGTGGTGTCCTCGGGGGACTCGGACCTACTCACCTGTCAGGTACTCCAGGACGGCGGCCATGTACACGGGCGCCCCCACTCCAATCCTGTACTTGGGGTGGCCTTTCTTGATGTAGCGCAGCATCCGCCCCACAGGGAAGATGACTCCCGCCTTGGCGGACCGGGAGGTTTTGGTGGACTTCTTCTTCCCACCCCGGCTTGACATGGCGGTGGCCCTGGAGGTGAATCAGTAAGCACACTGTGGAGGCAAGAGGCACAGACGTCAGGATCCTGGGACGGGGTCCCCCCGCTTCCCCGCACTCTCTGGCCCCTGGAAGAAATGCCACCACCTGCAGCCACTGAGTCCTCCGAGCCCAGCTGATGCACTCCGCTGGAGCGCTTCGGCCCCTAAAAAGAGAACGGCGATGCGCTTCACGTTTTATACCATAACATCAATTTTAGCAGCCACCTGCACTTAAACGTTACTCTGACAATGAGTGCTCTTAAGTGCCTTGCCTTTATGCCACATGATGTAAAAGAAAATGGGATTTCTTGACTACGTCCTATACACTTGTTTAACAATTGCATTTTCATACCCTTGAGACCAGGGCGGATAAATGGGCTGAAGCCTTCATGAAAGAAAACTATGTCCCCTGCCCCCAGAATGATGTAAAGCCTGATACCTAGGCCCTCTGATGAAAGCAGCGTCTCTACCTCACGATCCTTTCTCTGTTGGGGGGGCAAGAACAGCTCACAGGAGTTCAGCAGATAGCTGGGCTGCAATCACAGGCCCTCAGAACACTTCCAGTCCACTAGCTGGGCCTGTCCTTAGAGAAGACAGAGAAGTGCTTGTCTTTCCCTGCTCTTCCTCCCCATCCCCATCCAAAATGTCACTCAAGTCCAGAGGATGCTCCATCTCCATCAACTCTTGGAAGGCCTCTCCTGTCCACCCCAACTGTGACTGAATCCAGGTCATCATTAACCAAATGATCTCAAACATCTCCTGAGGAGGTCTCCCCACCATGGGCCCTACTCTCCAATCCACCTGGCCTCCGAGGGTAGTACATACAAGTCTGAATACTCAACTGCCCTGGTCTGAAAGCTTTCCCTGGCTGCCACAGTTCCCAAGAAAAATCAACACCCGTGGCCTGTCATGCAATGCCTCAGAAATCTAGGCCTGGCACATCCATCCAGCTTCACCCCATACCTCCGGTGGTCCAAACTTGGACATGGGGAGTCACACACAGCTCCTGCAAATGGCCTCCTCTGCAGGGGCTGGGCCCTTCGGCCAGGACCACCACGATCCCTCACACTTGCGTTCTGCCCTCTGCCAACCCTTCCCTGAGTGCTCAGATACAGCTACGCCATCCTCTGGGCCCCCTTGCACTTCATGCCACAATGATGTGCACATGCCCCCGTCTCTCCCGTCAGAGTGCAGGCTCTCAGAGGGCCGCCCCTGGCTGTACTCCTGGCAGGACACCACTAAGGTCCACATGTGTGCCAAGAGCATTCAAGGTCTCAAATGTTTGCTGAGAACATTCAAGTCATTCATGCATTCACTTCAGGAGCTAGGCTGGGGAACGGGGACAGCAGGGCACAAGGCAAATGGGATCCCTGTTCTCCCAGAGCTGGTGGGGAAGAGAGAGAAGAAATAACCCTACAGTCGTTTAAATGATCATCATGAAAAGCAGTGAGGGCGCTGGGAGAGGGGTTTTGAAGAGGCTGAGGCCTATCCTTGGGCACCATGCAAGCATTTCCTGGCGGACATCTATGCTCAACCACTAAACCAAATGGACAGGACTCCCATTTACTGGTACACTGAGGTCAGGCTGTGTGGTGTGTGAGCCACTCCAGCTCCAACAGGCCATGCCTCTATGCCAGCAGGGGCCACAGAGTTAGGAGTCCTTGTTACTCTGACGCCCAACCCTGTATTTGGAACACACCGTGGTCCGTACCTAACATCAGTGCGACCCCTAAGATCATCTCAGTTGTCTGCCTGACACAGATGGCCAAAACAGCAGACAGCAGAATTCTTGGGCACTCTAACAGAATTACGGTGGCTCTGGATAGATGTTGGGGGGTGGCGGTGGGATAGCTACAGACAATTATGATGAGAACCTTCTATTTCTCATCAAGGGGCACCAAGTCTTAATTGATCACTGAGTGCTAAAGAGAGTCCCAGAAGGGCCTGAGTTTCTCTGGAACAATTAAATGGCTCCATTTCTTGCTGTGATGAGCTCCATTTTGAAAGGTTCCCTGCAAACAGGTGTCCATGCTGACTCTGAGCAGGAAATGGTACCTGCCCACATGTGTGCATGTGTATGTCTGCAGGGAAAGCGGTCAGTGGGCTTCCCAGCAGTCTTTTGCTTGGCTACAAATGTGTTTCACAGACCAACCCCACGCCTCTGGACTAGGAGTTTGCAGATCTGAACATTTCCCCTCCTTTAGCAGGAGAGGCCTACGGTCAGTGATGATTAGTCAGCTGAGCCCCATTCTTACCGGAGTGCAGGCGTCAGCTCCCATCCCCAGGCAGAGCTGTCTGGGTATGTCTGGGGCTGCCTCTGTGGGATTCGGGCAATGTCCTGCCCCAGAGACGAGCCATCAGCATGCAGAGACCTGATGGTCCCTAGAAATGCTCATTCCTTAAAAGTGACGCTCCTGGTGCTTCCCTTCCACTCCAGCCATTCCGTGGACAGGCCGCGGACTCCCAGGTGCTCACCTGGCTGTGCAGCCCCAGAGATCTGTTCTGACTGCCTGTGGTAAGGACCCACTTGAAAGTCCCATGGGCACCTGAAACTCCCTCCTCTTGGTTTCTCAGCCCCAGCAGTGACAACCTCATGCACCAAGCCACCAAGCAGCAGTCAACCTGGGCCCTACTTCTCTGCCCCCCTTCACAGTGCCCCGCCATTAGCCAAGCTCTGTTGAACCCACCTCGTAACTTCTCGGGCCTCTTCCCTTCTCTTCGGCCTCCCTGGCTTGGTTCAGCTCTCTCTCCTTCTTACCTACCATGCTCAGCTCCACTGAGGCCAGAGGATGTGTGCCCCCTTGCGGGTTCCCCATCACCCTGAGCCAGCCACAAACAGCATCCTCCAGCGGCTTCCACGGCACTGCTTCCTGCCACCCCTGCCCAGGGCCCAGGCTCCAGGCCGCCCCTGACTTCCTGCCCTGCGATGCAGGGTCCAGAATGTCTCTCCTGCCTCTGACACCCTTTGTCCTCTTGCCAGCCCGCTGAGCTGATCTCTTTCAATCCCTGTCCTCCGGCCTGACCACGGACTGGCGTCACTCGCTGCTCCATGTTCTCAAAGCCCGCATTCTGGCACGTCTCCGTGCATCTGCCTCCCCAGCCTGACTGCACTGCAAGCTACCTGAGGCCAGGCTGTGGTCAGCTCATCCCTAAGTCCCTGGGTCCCAGGCAGGACCTTCAATGTCATGGATCCTCAGGTGCCATTCTGCTGAGAGAACATCTTCACACCTAATTTTCAGTCAGGCTCCTGATAACGCGGCCCCACGTCTTCATATCCCCCCCACGCCAGGGCTGGTCCTACAACTCCTGTTCCTCACCCCTCCCATGTTCTTCCCACACTTCTAACTATAGGTCCCCAAGCTGCAGTCACAGCTTGGAAAGACTTCTGACGGAGCCATGCAGCCTCCTGACATCCAGTGATGTGTGCTGACTTTAAAAATATCTTTAGGAAAATCACCTTGTAGCTGGGTAGTCTCCAGATAATCCCGTGAATGTGCCAGGTCCATCCCGCTCTTCAGGGGTCTATGGAGACAAGGGCGGCCAGGGCCAGGCACCCACATCGGGGGTGAGCGGCTGTGGTGGACGTGGCTATTGAGCACTGACTCAAATTCCAAAGTCAGCCTGGCCTCATTCAGGCTGTGGCTCTGCCACTTAGGCCAGTGTGTCCTTGGGCGTGTGACATAATGTTACCCTCGGAGCTTACTTTACCGTCAAGCAGTGATGAAGACAGAATGGACCCCAGACAGTTGGTGGGAGAACTGAGCGAAAACATGCATATGCAGGGCCCGACAAGCACTCACTGAGTGAGTGCTCAGGAAAGTCAATAAAAATAACAACAATGTGTATAATTTGAAAAGAGGCCGCCTCCTTGAAAACTGATGTTGGTTATTTTCACTGGCAAGGACAGCACTAGCTGCTGTAACAAACAAGCCCCTACAGCTTACTTCTCCCTCGTGAAAGTCCAAAGTGGGTCTCCACGATTGGCAGGTGCTGCTCCACATGAGTCATGGACCTGGACCCCTCCCATCCTTCAATGCACAATTCCAGTGTTACCGCAGAAGGGAAAAGGCCACGGAGGATAACACATGGAGGTCTTCAAGGGCCAGGCCTAGAAGGGGGGCACACCAGTACTGACCATGACCATGATTCATTGACTAGAACTTGGTCATATGGCCACAACTAATTGCAAGAGAGGTTGAGAAATGTCCTTTAGCTATTTGGTCAGAGGAAAAAACAGCCAGTCTCTGTCACATAACAAACCAAGTTGAAAGCTGACCATGAAGCCAGGGTGTGAGCAACCAGCCAAAGCCTACTGGGCCCTGTCTGACCCATGTCCTGTATCCAGCCTCTTCTGAGAGATGGCTGGTCCTCCATCACAGAAAAAGTGGCTTCTAACACACTCGGCTTCTCTTCAATGCACTGACATTGCTCAGAAGAGGATCAGCTACACTATCTTGTCAAACTGACTAAACTGTGTCCTTCCCTCCTTCCAGGACTAATCATCCAGGAGGGCACCCCATTCAAGAAACCAGAAGCCCTCACCCCTAGAGAGGGCCCCACATGCTTTGAAGACAGCGACACGGCCTTAGGCAACCTTGGCATCCATTCATCAGGGCACATTAGCTTAGCTGGGTTTTTTGACTGTTACCAGGCCAGGAAATGAAGATTCTGTGGTGGGTCCTGAAGGGATCTCTGTGGTCTTTACCTCTGCAACTCCTCCGACTATAAATTAATCACAATAGACATGAACCTTGCTTGCAGAAACCCAAAGCTTACGCAGAGTCACACACTGTTGGAGAAGGGCTATATGGAGAAGTGAGCCAGGCTTGAGTGAAAGGCAAGTCTCTGACCACAGGCCTCCCAACAACTGAGATGGGACCAGGGCATGTGACCTGTCCTCATGGTACAGGACTAGTAAGGCTGGCTGTGAGGATCCCGTGAATAAGATGGACATGAGAGTGACAAGCCCTCTACTATCAGGAAGGGCAACAGAGGTAAAAGGGGCAAAGGGCTAT